GGATTTCAGGACCGGATGGTCCAAAGGGGGAGATGGGACGAGTCTCCGACTGTCCTCCTCACCCCCAGCCCACAGGGAGCCCAAGGACCACCTGGTCCCCCCGGTCTGCCCGGAGATCCTGGCATCGAGGGAGAAATTGGGCTGCTTGGACCAAAAGGTAGAAAATGCGAAGGTGGAACTGCAATCAGGTCCAAAGTTCACTTTGTGCAGTGTGACTCTGTTGTATGTATTCTTGTTGTTGTCTGTCTGTTTGGATATCTCGTCCTGTAAGCATGAGTCTGGTTCTGCTCGAGGTTTCTGCCTCTTAAAGGAAGTTTTCCTCTCCACTGTAACGTTGCTTAATATTGCTTAGTGCTCATGATGGATTAAAGGCTTTATATGCGCCTTTATATTAACCCTTAAATATAATAGAAATCAAGTATATCCTCTGAAAATAACTCTGAGTCATGACTGTCTACAATGGGTGTAACACCCGAGTCCCACTGTCTGTGATGTTTTCAGAGTTTTCAGAGTCCTATCTTCAGTTTGTTTACATCGCCTGGACGGCCGGCTGACTCCTCCCCTCACATATAAAAGTTGTTTAATTGAGGGACTAGAGAAAAGAAGAATAACATACTGTACTCACTGCTTAACTGTGTTTCTAGATCACGCTCATTTCAGGTAAATTTACATGCAGTATGAAGATACCAGCATAATAAAGATCGCTAGCATTAGCATGCTAACACAACAATGCAGCGCAAGTTGTTTTGGTTTCATGCTGGTGCTCAAGGGCGACATCTGCTGGATCAAAAAATCACATTTAAAGCCTTTAAGGGGGAACTCAAACAACATGAAAAACATCTCAGCATGACTACATTACAAATGTAATGTAATAAGCCTTTAACGTTGGTTCACCGTAAAGTGTCTTTAGATCTCTTTTTTTTATGATATGGTGCCATTCAAATGAAAATGTCTTGATAAGAAGCGCTGACTTCCCCACAGTCAGCAGCTCAGGTTCAGTCAGATCAAACTGTCCGATGTGAACCTGCTGACATCAGTTTTAATCTTTGGGTACTGAGAAAGCTCATGTTGGGTTTCAGGTAAAAAGGGGGACATTGGGTGCGAGGGACCAAAAGGCGAACCGGGGCCCCCAGGTTCAGAAGGAGATCGAGGAGGGCCGGGCTGGATGGGGCCGGCTGGAGTTACAGGAGACAAAGGTGAGAGCTGCACCTGTCTGCTTCTCTTCCTCTTTTTGTTCTTCCATCTTTTCTTTCTTCTGTTCATCTTCGTTACAACTGATGTGAGACCCCAATAAGACGGACCAAATACAGTCAGACACACAAACACGTCTGTTATTCTTAACAGGATCCATGTTGAGGCATGTTAGGGCAAAACGTGAAGCCCTGATTTCAGCGACTTTAATGTGACTTGTTAGAAACACTCAAACTCCAAAACTATGGAACGATATACCTCAGCACAATAAACAGGCCTCTTCTTAAGACCCATCTCTTTTCCCTGGCCTTTGGCACACAGTAAAGACGTCAACTTATTTATTTATTTGATCTGTTTTTTGCGTGCCTATTCATTTTACTTGTTTTATGTCTTTTAAATTGATTCTGTATTTCACATGTAGTTTTTTTTTATCTCGTGAGCTGTTATGTATTTTATTTATTCTTCTGTACAGCACTTTGGTCAACTGTGGTTGTTTTAAAGTGCTTAACAAATAAAGTTGGATTGGATTGGAAACTGTCTCTCAGTGAAGACGGATGAACAGCTGCATCCACAGCTGAAACAGAACACCATCAGTGAAATCCTGGTCATTCATTTGGTTTCAAATTTGGGTTCAACCCGACCGTAATCATCCTTCACCTGCAGATATATGAATATGAAGCTAAATGGATGTTGGATAAATGCTGATATGTTTCTGGGTTTCATTCAGCTCTTTGTCTTTCCTCTTTTGCTTTAAACGCTGACTGTTTGAAACCAAAGACAGCTCAATTATTTGCCAAAACTTGAGACAGAAACCACGACGCTGCTGGAGACCAGATCTTGTTCCTGGTCTCCAGGTCCTCTGTTCACATGCAGAATGTGTTCATGGAGTTTAAGGTTAAATTAAGATCCAAACTTCTTCTGAGTTTGTGTTTTTTCTTCTTCTTGTATCTCCTGTGTGGTCTCATGTTACTTCCTGCGGTCTTTGTGTGTCTCAGGTGATCCAGGTCCAGTGGGTGACCCCGGTCAACCCGGGCCGAACAGGAAGTTGAACTCAGGCTTCCTGTTGGTGGTGCACAGCCAATCAAAGATGATCCCTGCCTGCCCTTTGAACTTGAGGGTGCTGTGGGTGGGCTACAGTCTGCTGTACCTGGAGGGTCAGGAGAAGGCTCACACTCAGGACCTGGGTACTGACACACACACACACACACACACACACACACACACACACATTAACACACACTAATAAGAGTGATTCCACATTGTTAGAAAACAATTATATTTAAACTGTGAAGGGGTCTTGTGCTGTATTTTAATACATTTGATAGTTTTGCATCGATACAGTTAATAATTTCAGGATATAGCGATCTACAAAGCCAAAAAAACAAAACATTAAAGTCCCTTTCGCTTGCTCTTTTGACAAAAAAACTGAACTGAAGCAAATGTCTAAACTTACACGGGGGTCCAGAGGGTTAATCACATGTATTTTATATTAGTAATCTGTTTGTTGTGATGATACCTGCAGGTCAGGCGGGCTCCTGTATGCAGGTGTTCTCCACCATGCCGTTCTCCTCCTGTAACATGGGAACCTGCTCCTATGCCAGCCGCAACGATAAATCCTACTGGCTGTCCACCACGGCGGCCGTACCCAGTATACCCGTGGGTGGAGCTGCCATCGAGGATCACATTAGCCGCTGTGTGGTGTGTGAAGCCCCCTCCTCACCTGTCGCTCTGCACAGCCAGACCTCCACCCGGCCGGACTGCCCCCCCTACTGGACGAGCTTGTGGGAAGGATTCTCCTTCCTCATGGTGAGTGTTGCAGAACTGAAATAATACTACTGCTGATACTGCTGCTTAAATAATTGCTATTAGCTTCACTGCTTATTCTACTAAATGAATTACTACAACTTCAACAGCTATTAAATGGTATCTATGGTATGTTTATCAGACAGACAGACAAGGGTCTTCCTCTCAAATGCAAAAACATGAAGGGTCATTCCAAACATTTTTAACCTGGGCTGTATTATGGAATATTTTGTGTCTATAAAACCAGTAGGAACAGATGAATGAAATTGCTCTAGTAGTTTTTCTTCAGTCGAAAGCAATGTCTGGATTGCAATTTGAACCACAGAAAGTGTGAAAAACATAAATACTGGAATTGGAAATTGGAAAGGACTACACTTGCTTGCTCTCAGCTGGTGCATGGATCCGTCTGGACTAAGCTAGACTGGTGATGATGTCACTCCCTGTGTCTGTTGCAGCATACAGGTGCAGGTGATGAGGGAGGCGGCCAGTCTCTGACATCATCAGGTAGCTGTCTGACAGACTTCAGGGCCCAGCCCTTTGTGGAGTGTCAGGGGCCCAGAGGGACCTGCCACTACTTCGCCAACATCTACAGCTTCTGGCTGATCCAAGAGCAGACAACCACTTCCACCTCCACAACGCTGACCCATGGCTGGGAACAGAGGGACAAAATAGGGAAGTGCAACGTCTGCATGAGGGAGTGAGGAGGAGCAGCACCTCCTCCTCCTGCAGAGTCTGAGAGGACGGACAGGACGAGAAACGTTTGTTTTTCTCTGTGAGGAGAGAGAGTCACATTTGGAAGCTGCTGACAATCAATCAATCAATCAATCAATCAAATAATCAATCAATCAAGTTCAGGTTAACAGGGGAGCCTCAGAGGCGCACAGATTAGTTTATTTAACTTTTTAGCAAACACGACAGAAGACAAGTTTAAACTGGGTTTGTAGATTTTATCTTTAAGTGTGAATCAAGGCTTTAAATATCTCTTTGAATTAAACGAAAAACAAATATTCGATTTAAATACTGGCATAATTTCCACTAGAAAAATCAGTTTGCTTAAAGCTCAATCAGCCTGGATTAATGATCTTTTCAGCCAAGGGTTTTTAGTCTACATGTTTACATTAAATATAACATATTATATCAATGACTAACCTGAAAATATAAAGGGCTAAAAATCGATCCCTGTGGAACCCCATAAGTGATTCTTGACTGCATCTGGGGAGATTGTGTTGCTCTGTGTTTTCTGATGTAGAAGAAGGATAGACCAAATGTCAGACAACTGCGTAACGAAAGTAAGACTGAGTTTGAGTTATTTTGTGCAGCGAGTGCAGTTATGACTTAAGTGTGACCTGTAAGTTACATGGAAACTGTCACTCAGTGAAGACAGATGGACAGGAGCTCCACATCAAAGACAGAACACCATCAGAGATATCCTGGTACTGATCCTAGCTAACAGGTCACTGATCAGCGAGGAGGAAGGAGATTAACAGAGCTGAGAGAGAACAAGTGATGATTTGATTGGTTTGCACGTGTATCTTGGAGAACAAATATTTGCAGGCTGTGTGCAACAATTACAACCAAATTTTCCTGCAGTCGAACCTGCGGTAGACGAAAGGTTGGCTTCACTTTTGGTCCTAACACAGCTTAAGTAAACTTTAGTAAACAGCTACAACTTAGCTCCAACACGGGGCAGTCAACAATGTCTAACACACCACTTTGTAATGATGAGGTGTAATGTGAACGTATGATTTTTACATTGAAGATTAACCTTGTGTAAAGGAAAATTGGTGCTTCTAAGTCAATGAGTGTGAATATCTAACAGATTACACTGTAAATTCAGTTATTCGTCTTGTTCAGTACAAAGAATAATTTATCCTTAAGATCCTTCAGCCCCAGTTTAAATCAGCTGTTTTGTGACGTTTGCTGAATTGAACAAAGATACAAAAATAGTTTAAAAAGAAGTCATATTTATTCCCTTTTAGCTAATTAATACAAATCAGTTATTTAAAAAATTCTCACTATCACTGATGTTCGAGGTGATTTACTTCCTGTGACATCATTGTTTGGCAGCATTAACGTGACATTTTCTCCTCAACCGTAAGAACGACGTTGAGCACCTGAGTGAACAGTAACCCCGCCTCCAGCCCGACCCATCCCCCAACCAGAACTGCACTGAAAATCTCTCTGATAGGTCGGCGGAAAACGCGTTCTGATTGGTCAGCTGAGAGGCAGTGACTGCATGTCAGTGGACAATATTTTGTTAATAAGTAGGGCCAGAATTGTGTGAGAAGCTGTGAATATATTTGACCTTGAAACATGTTTTTGTCCAGATGTGTTCAGAGCGCCCCCTTCAGCTCGCCTGATTTATTGTTCTTTATTCATGTTTTAAGTTTCAGTGTAAAAACAAAGAGGGCGGCAGTCAGATTTAAACACGGTAATGACTTAACCCAAGGTTGTTGTTTTTTTAATCACGACAAGACGTGAAGTGACAATCTGTCCTGTTACTCTGAGTCTAAAAAACTGCAGAACGGAACCAGAACTAGAACCAGAACTGAATTTAAGGACTCAATCCCACTCGTCTTCATGTGTTTACACTCAAATTCACTTAAAAATGTAAGCATGATTGTTTCATTTAAGATTAAACGAAAGGTCTGTAGTCGGCGTCATGATACAAATGTTTTAATACTTAAAAAATAAATACAGTAGACAGCTTGAAGTCCTTTCATAAAAACGAAACTTTACATTTTTCTTTAACTTTTAGAAAAATATCTCGTAAAATCTTCGGTGGAATTTTTCTTTGGTCTGGTTTCAGTCCAGTCCTGGTCCTGGTCCTGGTTCTGTTTTATCGCTCTGTAATTTGTAAATAAGTTTGAACTCGACCGTTTTATATTTTTACTGTAAATGTCATCAGAGTATTTATTTAGCCTGAAATTACTGTTGGTGCTATTTGACGTTTCTTTTGTTCATTCGTCAAATCTTGATTTGGTAAACAATGTCACAGTGAAGCCCCGCCCCTTCTCCTCAATCCTAGAAAATAAACTTGGCAAATTTAAATTTGCACATTGAGCATTGGAGGACATTGATCTCTAGTTTTTTTTTAATTTAGAGAATTTATGTTAATGTGAACTTAATTAATAAAGTCAATTTACACTTAAAAACCTCTTGAAGAAATGTATGCCACGCCCCTTTCACCACATCCTGTATGCTGTCATAAACTGATGTCATTGACGGTCGGTTCCATCCAAAATGTATTCCAAAAAAGGATAAAAGAAGTGATTCTGTTCAGACTCTTAAATGCACTGATTGGATGCCTCGAAGCTTGAAAGTAGATAAACTTAACTGCAGCTCCCATGGTGTTTTGCTTTAATGTGTTTAGTTCAGGGCATCAGTTGATCTCCATTAATATGAGACTCCAGGTTCAGAGCTGTCAGAAATTAAAAAAAGAAGAAATGAGGTGGGCAGGACTTCATTGGTACCTGAGGAGGGGGAGGGGTAGAAGTCACTGTGACATTATTGTGTTTTTTTATTGTATTTAAATCTGTCTGATATTTTAATCTCTGTAGGAGGAAACTTCTCACTAACACTTGTGAAACATTTTACTCTGTGGACGGAAGACTTCAATAAAAATCCATCAAAGCTTCACCCCCCACTCTTTGTCTTGTATAATTTTAGTGAAAAAAAAAAAGTTTTAGACTGATCATGAAGAATCATTGCTCTGTGACGAGTCACCCCCCCCTCCCCCAAACAAAAAAAAACAAAACAGAGACAATCCATGTACTTAAAAAAAGAATATTATTAATATATTATTATTCTTTTCTCTAGTCCCTCAGAGGATATACTGGATTTCTGCTACATTTAAGTGTGAAAAATTGCATATTCTTCCTTTAAACTTTGATCTGAACACATTGTTCAACCACAACTTAAATCAGTTTGTCAAACCGTGTCAAAGTGTTGGAGCCATGGATAAATTCAAGTGTATCTTTGAATTATTTTTTAAGGTTAAGGTATGTAATGGGTTGTATTTCTGTGTTTTGGGTCATTTTTAATGATATCACTTATTGTGGGATTTGAGTAGGCGGATAGCAGGTCACATGGGTATTGGCGGGGATGTTGTATTGATTTAACTCCCCAGTTCACCTTTTGTTCTCAGTGGAAGAGAGAGGTCGAGTTGGGTTGCCGTATTTTTTGTTGACCGCCATTGTTTGGTGCCCCGAGATTACTTTGATTATGAGTTAATGCACATTATCATGAATTGATTATCTTTTCCGTTAATAAAAAGTCAAATGTATTTATCGTATCTCAGTGATTCTTTTTTAGTAAGTGTGTCAAACAAGATACTAGGCCCAACCTCAGCCTCTCAGCGACATCATTGTACCGGAAAGTTGCAACACATACAGTAGATATGAACAAAGATTTTAACCTGCAATTAATTTATCAAGCTAGAATCCAACCCTAGATCTTGGGATTAACACATGGGCATCTTGGGAAAGTCTTTCCACCTGATTGGCCAAAGATTTTCCACATCACATTACACCTGATGGGAAGAGCGGAGAGAGTCCTTCATTTGCCATTTGCTGTCTCCATTTGGCAAATCCTTTGGAACTGATCTGTTAGCAGACAACTCGTGACGCAGGAAGCACAATGGACATTAATGAATCTCAGTTGCTGTCGAGAGATCTCAGGAAGATTTGATGAATTTTTGAGGTACTGACAAGTCTTTAAAGGATCTGTTTCCCCGTCTTGATCTCCGGACTTACAGTGACTTCTTGGATTGCTGTGCTACCCTGGGTTAGTGGGAAGAATGGCAGTTCTCTGCAGGGCCAGCAGAGGCTGCCATCTAACAACTTGTCCTCTTCCTGTGTTGTCCTCTTTCCAACATACCACAGCCCCATTCACCCTCTTGGATGAGTCCCTACAGCTTGTCAGAATCCATCTCACAGCCTCATACCCATTCCTTCTCTCAACTGCAGCCCAAGGTAACTTTAAACTCTCCCTCTGGCTACCTCGAGATATCTGTATTCATATAGACTCTGGACTGGACTTGATTTCACAGGTGTGGACTGGAGAGTACAAGTCTGGACTGATTTAATGGATGGATCCAAGAGGATAAAGTGCAACCAGACTCTTAGCACCTGTTTTCAAATGTCCACTCAAAATATCAGCTTCCAGGTTTTCAGTACAAAGGTACTCTGGAAAACCCCTCTCTGGAACAACACAACCATCACATCAGCTGGACAACAGGTCAAATTCTTTCTTGGAGAAAAGTGTGTAACCAAAATTGTATCTTGCATGTTCCCTTTGCTCCATCTGAGTCTCTCACAGTTTCCTACACTGTCGTCTCCAGATCTTGAGTACCCCGACTTTTCTTGAGCTCCTCCTTGTTAACCATGATCTCAAGCAGAAGTTCAGCAAAGCCAGGGTGAAGTCTCTTTCTCCTCATCTGTCGCTCGCCTGTGTCATCAACCTACTGAGGGAGGTAATACTCTTTGGATCCAAGGCGAAGAGGAACTATGTAGAATATTCCTTGCGGCCAGATTCAGTCTGTCTTCCTCTACTGCAGCCATCTTCTTTGTAGAAAACAAAGCCTGTAGACCCTTTTTTGACTATCAGACTTAAAAACAAAAAGACACACAAGTCCTTCAGGAGTAAATCATTCATTGCACAAATTGAAGAACAGCGGTCGGTGATCTGATCTGTTTTATTGTCATTAAAAGCTGATCTGTACAGAAAGATTAATCTCATACATCCACCTTCATACAAGACTGAGAACAGAAAAGAATAATGCAAAGAATAGAAACATGTTTTCAGAGTGAAGTGCTGAAAAGAGTTAATTACAAACTAGGGATGCACAGATGGTGAAAATCAGGACCGATTCTGATACCAATGTTTAAAATAACAATTTAGCCGATTCCAATGTTTCTTTTGGTGTAAGACTCCCAACAATGCCAACATTTTCCCTCGTGACTGTCCATGAAAAGTGAATCCAGTGATTGCATGAAGGAATCATCTGTAGAAACAGATTTGATCGGGAAGAGGAAGTCAAAACAGAAAAAAAATACAAAGAAATGTTTTTGAATCTCCAGTTCTGTCTCTCGAATACAGTGAGCGTTCCCATTTTTTCATAAACAAACAGAAAATATTAAGCAGTACGAGCCAGCAAAGAGAAATAATAAAGCTCTATTTAACTCTGTATCCTATATATATATATATATATATATATATATATATAAACCTCATCACACCAAAGAGCTCCCACTGAAATCACTGCTTTAAATACACCGTCAGCATTATAGAGACTCAGATCGTCTAGTACCTTTGATTAAATCTTACATTTTTTATTGTGTGCAACCATTAAATCACGCCTCTCATGGAGTTTCTTCTGTGATTATAAATTCAACTCCACATCCATAAGAGCGCCAACAAGATATTCTGCCTCCCCCCCCAAAAAAAAGAACACCTTCATTTCCATCCAAAGCGCAGATGAAACAGATCTGATTAAGTCCAGTCTGGAGCTCCTGGATCTGATTCTGGGTTCCACATTAGTTAAAATAGATCCAGTATGCACAGGCGGTAAAGTGACAGCAGTCCTAATGATCTTATTGGTTCAGCCCTCTTGTCTGTTTGTCTAAAAAATGCACATTACATTAATTCAGAGGATTTCTCTCATCGATCATCTATTTAAATCCAGAATTCCTGCAGGAGTATATCAGGGCAGGTTGCTCTGAAAACAAACAGGGAAGAAGCCGAATGTGAAAGAAGAGATCCCACATGAACAAAAATCGTCTGAGAACACATACAATGTTCTACATGTTACGTGCTAATCTAATAAAAAAGACTTTCCATCAAAGACTTGATAAAAACAAGCTTTTGTTTTCAGCAGATGTAACCCTAAATTCAAAGGTTAAAAGTGCATCCTTATATTTTAGAGTATTTTCTGATTACAGATCAATTAGCCATTTTAACCCAAAGAGACAAAAGGGAACTCTTACTGATCAATATTTAATCATCAGGCACCTGATTTTTTGGGTCCAGTTTTTGTCCTCTGATCATTACTGATCGCAGTCCACCAGGGACTTCTGTCTTTTCCTTTCGTTTTCCTATGTGAGTGTTTCCTCTCAGCAGGAAAAGCACAGATTACTTTCATCAGACGATAACTGTCTCTCTCAGCCAGTTTTAAATCAAGGAGTCAGAATGATTTGAATACTTCTTATCATACTATTCCCAAAGTCTACGTTCGACATTTTAACTATCGTTATACATTTCTACTTTCTTTGTCTTTGAGAGAATCGAGACACACAAACATATTTTTGCTGGACTGATGGAAAGCTTCCATCAACAGTGGTTCAGTTGATAATTGTTGTGACTGTGCTGAAAGTAGAAAACAATTCAGACCCCTCAAAAGTTTCCTCTTCAGAGAACATCATCAGGGTTTTCCTGGACAGATGTTCGGGTCTTGCGGGGTCGCGGCCGCAGCGTGCTGAAGCAGGACGAGGCGGTGAGGGCGATGCGGCTCAGGCCCACGTTCAGGCAGTGAACCTCAGAGGTGACCGGCACCTCTGAGAAGAGGGCGTGATCCCGGGACAGGCGGGCCAGTCCGCTGCCACTGCCACCGCCATCGCTGCTCTCGATGTCTTTGACGATGTTGAGAATCTCCTGACGCTCCGCCTGGCGAGTCATCCCTCGGATGTTCAAAATGGCCGACACATGCTTCTTCCTGAACAGAGAGAGGAAGAAAAAAGTGAAGGGCATGTAGTGATAGACAAGTTGATTTTCAACGTTTTGACTTATTCTTTGGCCTGAGGGCCTGAGCACAGTTACCTCATAACGTCTTAATACAACACACTCATGGCTTTACGTGATCATGAAGTGTGCTTAGCTACATAAGATAAGATAAGATAATCCTTTATCCAGCCCAACATTAATCACCTCCGACTGTCCCTGACACCCACCAGTAACGCCATCCTCGTTAACACCCTGGTTACATCTCGCATTGATTACTGCAGCTCCCTTCTCTTTGGTCTTCCTCTCAAGTCCATCCACAAACTTCAACTGGTCCAGAACTCTGCCGCTCCAGAACACCCTCCATTAATCCCATCACTCCTCTCCTTCAGCATCGGTTAAATATCACATTGACAAGATTCTGCTCCTCACCTTGAAGGCCGTCCATAACCTCGCTCCTTTGTACCTCTCTGACCTCCTGCACATCAACAAACCAACCTGCACTCTCAACTCAGTGCAACACCTGACCCGCCCACCTGACCACCATGGGGTCCAGAGCCTTCAGCCGCTCTGCCCCTCCCCCGCCTCTGGAACTCCCTACCACCAGATATCCGTAACATCGACTCTCTGCATTTTCACATCTCATATCACTGGCATATCCAGTCCATCATTCTCCATCCTGTCTCATGAATCCTCTACACAATGATTTAATATCCTGTAAATGTGTCTTTTTAATGTTAACTCGTATGTAAGTCTAAGTCAGTAGAGTCTGATGTCTTAGAAGAGGGCGATGTAACAGATGCATCTTCCTGTAAAACAAAAAGGTCTCTGATGTTGTCACAAACTTAGAATAACAATCTGAGCCTGTCGGGGACAACAACAACTTTAAGTGGACACACTTTGACCCATCAAGACACTACACCTGTTTCATGGCTACGGGCTGAAACAATCTATTGGTACTTTACCAAACATGTTTTTACCTTTTATTGTTTTAGACATACAGTATGGCCCAGGTTTTAAACTTCTGTATTGACCCTTCATGTTTCAGCAGATTTTTAAGAGTTCAAGAAGAAAATGTACTCATAGGATATTAGTGGAGTCGGGCTGTATGAGCAGACTGCAGAGAGGCGTCTCACAGGACACATTGTGGAGGTAAATATAATACATACAGCTATTAGGAGAACAATAACAAGAGTGCCAGACTTAATATAGAACACACACACACACACACACACACACACAGACACAAAGGCTCAGTGGGTTAAAGGTGACATTTCTCAGCAGTCGGGTCACTATCCGAAAGGAAGGAAAGTGTTTATGTGTTAATGCTTTGTCTTCAGTTTCTCTTTCTCACACATACCATGATCTTTCTGTAGTTTCCCGTCAGATTATACTTTTTGCCCTCTTCACACAGGACTGATGACACTGGGGCATTGCCAGTCATTTGTAGTAATAAAATAGTAATGTAAGAAGCAATCAAAAACTGGTCTTAATACACAACAAGGGCAAAGAAACGGGTTTATCTGTTTAACTTTTAACATTGAAAAGAAGCAGAGGACTACAAATTTGAAGGGTTAGGGTTACATAAGAGGAAAAAAGTAAAATAAGACAAAATGCAATAATGACTATTAGGAGAAATGGAAGAACAAGAGGAGGGTTTGTTGAATGTTTTTTTTGTACCTGACGTCTGGAAACTCGCGAACCAAAACTCCGACCTCCATCTGGATGGAGGGGACGTCCTCCAGCTGGATGATCTCTGAGATGTGAGACAGGGAGCTGTCCAACCAGCTGGACAGAGACTCCTGACAGACAGACAGAGCAAACATGCTAACACCAAGCCCTGGACATACAGACAACTATCACTCTGTTACTTTGAGCTATCTATCTTAAAGGAACAATATGTAAGATGAATGACCTTACTATATGATCAGACATTAAGGAAACATGACCTCATGCTCTGGATTTGTTTGGACCAGAGAAGGTAGGCGCTTTTAAGACCCCCCACACGGCCGTTTTGGACGCCCCTCAGTTTGTCAGATATGAGAGCAGTTATCAGGTCAACAGGTGTTGCAGCGATGGAAGTGGTCAAGAGAAGTGGTTCAGATAGAAGTGATTGTACCCGACCTAAAAAGCCTCTGCATGTTTCTAATAAGCTCCACGAGCAGAAACGTGCTCAAACTAGGATCAATATTGGAGATGCTTTTGAAAAATGGAGAGAGGTTAGAACACAGAAAGGTTTACAGACCCATACAGAGCTGGATAAACACTGAAGCTTCAGAGTCCACCACATGGTGACCTGAGTGAGCATCCACTCTAGAGAGGAGGGGGGGGGGAGGCAGATCTCTATGATGTTTAGAATGTAGACTGCAGTACCCATTTTAAACAATGGGTGTCAGAGTTACACCTTGCTCCTTTAATGCAGGCTTTAATGGCTGCAACATAATTATCATGTCTAGTAATTTAAAAAGTAACTATTTTATGGTTAATAGTAAAATGCAGCCGTATAACATTTAATCTGAGGGAGAATTATTATTTTGTATCAAGATAGTCTGGTGTGTGTGCAGAGAGTTAACAGCTGTTAAAAAATTCTCACTAACCAGATCTTTGAAGAGGACTTTGATCTGTGTGCCTTCGTCTCGGAGCCGGCCGGCCATCCTCTTCCTCATCTTTGCAGAGGTGCAGATGATTCTGCCTCGCATGACTGAGCGAAGGTACTCCATCACCACGCGGCGGTGCACCTCCGCCACCAGCAGCTGAGGGTGAGAGACAGAGAGAGAGAGACAGAGAGACAGAGAGAGAGAGAGAGAGAGAGAGCGAGACAGAGAGACAGAGAGACAGAGAGACAGAGAGAGAGAGACAGAGAGAGAGAGACAGAGACAGAGAGAGACAGAGGAGAGAGACAGAGAGAGAGACAGAGAGAGAGAGACAGAGAGACAGAGAGAGAGAGAGACAGAGAGAGAGAGACAGAGAGAGAGAGAGAGAGAGACAGAGACAGAGAGAGACAGAGGGAGAGAGACAGAGAGAGAGACAGAGAGAGAGAGACAGAGAGACAGAGAGAGAGAGAGACAGAGAGAGAGAGAGACAGAGAGAGAGAGAGAGAGAGAGACAGAGAGAGAGAGAGAGAGAGAGAGAGAGAGAGAGAGAGAGACAGAGAGACAGAGAGAGAGAGAGACAGAGAGACAGAGAGAGAGAGAGACAGAGAGAGAGAGAGAGAGAGACAGAGAGAGAGAGAGAGAGAGAGAGAGAGAGAGAGAGACAGAGAGACAGAGAGAGAGAGAGAGAGAGAGCGACAGAGAGAGAGAGAGAGAGAGAGAGAGAAATATGATGATCTTTACCAGGTGTGTTTTTTGGTGTGTAACAATATGACTGGTCTGGTGATTGCCACATCTCCAATACTCATAGTTAAAGTACATTTATGTTGAAAACACAAACACATAATAAACACACAGTATAAGAGTGCTTACCTGGTACGGAGGACTGTCCATCCTGTGATATTTCTTGAAGTGTTCTTTGATCAGAGCTTCGATCTGCTCGTACGGCTCAGTGTTGCTCAGCCACTTCCTCTTCACCAGCCGCTCAAAGAATGGCTAAAAGAAACGGACAAACGTCAATCATATATTTTCATTTTTGTCACAATTCAACTGGTGACATCAAATGATTTTCACTGAATTACAGCTTTAATGAAAATCAATCAAAAAGCTCAGGTAACGAATAAACTAGAATAATGTAGTCTTAAAGGCTGAATCCAACTTACCTGCAGATCTTTAAAGTCTTTCTATGTGATTTTTCACACTTAAATGTAGAAATCAAGTATCTCCTCTGAAAATAACTCTGTGAGTCATGACTGTCTACAATGGGTGTAACACCCGAGTCCCACTGTCTGTGATGTTTTCAGAGTTTTCAGAGTCCTATCTTCAGTTTGTTTACATCGCCCGGACAGCCGGCTGACTCCTCCCCTCGAGTATAAAAGTTGTTTAATTGAGGGACTAGAGAAAAGAAGAATAACATACTGTACTCACTGCTTAACTGTGTTTCTAGATCACGCTCATTTCAGGTAAATTTACATGCAGTGTGAAGATACCAGCATAATAAAGATCGCTAGCATTAGCATGCTAACACAACAATGCAGCGCAAGTTGTTTTGGTTTCATGCTGGTGCTCAAGGGCGACATCTGCTGGATCAAAAAGTGGCATATTCTTCCTTTAACTAAACTGCAGGCAAGTCAACAAGTTAAATATTGTACAAAAGCGACTGAACACATTAAACATAACTATTAATTCTTCTTAGCTATACTGACTTCAGGCTACAAAACCAACAATTTGAGTAAACTAAACTATAAACTACAATAATCTACATCAGATCAAACCAAAGGAATAAAACTTATAATTAAAATCTGATAATTAAATCTGAATTGCGTGGCCTGTAGCCTAGTGATTAGTCCGTACGCCCCATGTACGGAGGCTATGGTACTCCAAGCAGATGGCCCATGTTCAAATCTGAGCTGTGGCATGTCATAACCCACTCTCTCTGACTCTGACACATTCTCACTCTATCCACTATCCTGGCTCTAAATAAAGGTATAAAAAGCTCCAAATGAAACCTTTGCTAAAAAATCTGAATAAGACAATTACAAAACAGTCCTAACCACATTTAACTAATCTTAACTAAACCAAACTGCATGCTTTGTGTTTGTGGCCTCTCGAGCTTTCTCTCTGTGTGTCGTGTGTTGTTTCAGCAAACACTTCAGATTAAATGAAAGTTAAACATTAAAATTGAATTTAAAGAGCTTCATTGATACAGACCTAACAAAGGTGTGGCCTTGGCACAACAGAGAGAGGAGGAAAACTGGATGTTAGACAAACACTCAAGTAAAGTTGTGACTGAACGTGGCATGTTGCTTGATGTGTGCGTTTGCGTGTGTGTGTGTGTGTGTGTGTGTGTGTGTGTGTGTGTGTGTGTGTGTGTGTGTGTGTGTGTGTGTGTGTGTGTGTGTGTGCGTACCCTGATGTGCAGATAAAGACGTTCAGACAGCACTCTGACCCCCTGCTGGACGATGTGATCCAGAGCTTTGTTTGCTCGACGCAGAGAGTCCTCGCTGACTGACGGATCACACTGAGCACAGCGCTGCACGAACCCTCTGAAAACACACACACACACACACACACACACACACACACACACACACACACACACACACACACACACACACACACCTGAGTTAAAGTCTCCATTAAATGTAAAATACATTTTCCAAGTTTTTATCCAGCGTTCTAGAGATAAATGTTAATTTACTGTCAAATAATTGTAATATTTTTACATCAGAATACCTGTATTTTCTGTTCTTGTAAAACGTTTCAGATATCTGATGACTCATCCTGCACTCAGGGGCATTAACTCATTTTCAACTAGTTAAAAAGCCTTGTCTTATTTATAGGCCCCTCCCCTTTAACTATAAATTCAGTCTCTCTGACTGTTTGACAGTTTTTTTTCGGTACCTGAAAGGCGGACAGCAGTTGACCAGGGCGATGGTTTTAGACACGTATCCATCCTCGTTGTCTCCAAACATACCGCTCTGCATCCCCTCATGAAACATCTCAACTTTACGCTGGAAACTAAAAACAAGTAAAGACAAATTCAAGTCTCACAATCATGATCAATATAATGTGTGAATGACATTATTTTAGAGCCAGAGCTTTAGATGTAACTAATGGCTTATAGGTAAGAAGGTGTCTGATGTTCAACTGAAGCCACTAAACAAGCTGTAATTGGCTGTAACTTCAAAGTACAACCCTAAAGAATGCATATTCTAAATATGTTATTTTATTTATGGAAGGATTCCTACAAATATTGTTGATTTTTTTTAATGGAAAGATGCTTTGGAAACAGAAACAGCTCTTGCATCACTCTCTTCAAAGACACCAGATGCCATAAAAAAATAGAATCTTAGTTCACAAAACAGGAGAGTTGCTGCTAAAAGGGTTGCTTGTTTTTTGTTGCTTTATTTTTCTCTATTACAAAAAAAATTGGGCAAACTAAGATATTATTATAACCATTTTGTTTTCTTCTTCTGCATTCTATTATTGTTTTGTATAACATTATAAAAAAAAATGTTTAGATTGCCCAATAAACACAAAGTTGCAAAAAAAAAGCAACAACTTTCAGTGAACCCAAAACTGTCACATGTGGTTACCTGTAGAGGAAGTCTGCCAGGCCGTTCAGGCTGCACTGAGCCACTCTGGAACCCAGACTTCTGTTGATGGAGGCAGAACGCTCCAGATCAACCTGCAACCTCTGAAACGACAAAGCAGTCAGTTGTTGTTTCACTGCCACACTTCAAATCTTCAAAGATGCAGAACATACTGAAAAGAAAGAGACTGCAAGACTCTTTGTGGAGGAAAAGCTTAAACAATGTAACCCTTTATTATATGATCAGCTGAAGAGGGACAATATTGGAAGGTGAGAGAGGAGGATGACATGTAACAAAGGGGTGTGGTCAGACTTGAACCCACGGCAGCTGCGATGAGGACTAGTCTCCGTGCATACATAACCGCTAGGCTATCCGACAACCTGCTTTTAATACTTTACATTTTACATGCATTCCAAAGTGTTTGACTAAAACTCTCTTTGGACAACTGCTTCAGTTGGTAAATAAAACCTGTTCAAACCTGTTAAATTGTTTTCTCGTGCAATACTCAATTTTTCCACCAGAGGGCAGCAACCAGTTAAAACACAATTAATGTTTATTTGTATGAATGTTTGTGTACAAGTTATTACCCATGATGTGTCTCCTTTAAATAATTAGTTTGTAGAGTTAAGACTTGGTTTGAGGGGGAGGTTAGAGAAAGTCCCCGGGAAAATCAATGTAAGTCAATGCAGGGTCCTGTGACGTCATAAGAACAGGACTCTGTGTGTGTGTGTGTGTGTGTGTGTGTGTGTGTGTGTGTGTGTGTGTGTGTGTGTGTGTGTGTGTGTGTGTGTGTGTGTGTGTGTGTGTGAGTGAGTGTGTGAGATCAGGAAGTGCTCGATGTTGACTTTGGCGGCGATTCAAGGAACGACTCAGAAAACAATCAGTGTACACAACACAGCGGAATCCACCTTTATGTAACACCTCGCTCTGATTCAATAACCTTTATTTAAACTGACAGGAAACACTGATCAGAGCCGCCAGCAGCTGTGTGGATCCATTATCCCCCCGTTACCATTGTTACACAGTGATCACCTGTATGACGGTCTTGGCCAAAGTGATCTGATACTCCTCAATGTGCAGCGTCTCCATCCACCTTTTCTCCTCCTCCTCCAGGACCTGGCTCAGCTCCGTGGTGACTTTCGCCTGAACAGGGAGGAGCCAGCGTTAAAAACAAACACACCTCAACTTTAAAAATAATCTAGAGGGTGTTTACTTTGACTATCAACAGCTGAATAATGCAGCTACGTTTCACACAAGACCGCTCACCATTTAATAAACTTATTGCACATCATCAGCAAATCCAAACCAAGCAGAAGAATCTATAGCAAGTAGTGTGTAGCTTGTAGCATTAAGCTAACTTTTTAAACTCCAGCCCTTCTTTTGATCAGCTGTTTGTATTGCAACTTATCTGTTCTCAAAAAAGGCAAAAACAATTAAAGATAAAAAACAAGAAACCAACAAGAAGAGCATTTAGACAAAAAAATATCAGAGGATAAACAATAACTAATTTTTATCAGAGCTAGCTTAAGTTCTTTCACTCCCAGTCAAAACAATAAACAGCATCGACCTTATGTTTGAAGAACAGCAGGTTTAAAGATTGAGGAATTGACGTAAAGGTCACATAGTATGAAAATCCTCTTCCCCATGTTCCTCTAACAAACTCTTCAAACCCCCCCAATGATGAGAAAAGTCCATCCTCTCCGTCTTCTGCCTGCTCCACTTTTCAGAAAATGTGTGCTCAAACAGGCTGTTTGGAGATTTTCCCTTCATGACATCACAAAGGGCAGTAGCCCCTCCCCCAGGTGGGTGACACTCCCACAGCTAGGTGTTTGTTCTGCCCTCTGAGTCTGCCTTCTCACCGTAAACAATAGGACATGGAGAGAGAAAGCACCAAGACACCCAAGCCCTTCCAGAGAGGGGGCGTGGTCAGACACAGCTCATTTACATATTTAAAGGTACAGACACAGAAACAGCCTGTTCTGAGCAGGGCTGAAATAGAGGGGTTTATAGACATGATCAAATACAGGATCAGAGTGGATTTAGAACAAGAAACTTCTCACTTTTAGCTCATTAAAGTTTGGCTGAAATGTTTTTTTCTTTTACCAGAACATCCAATATTTCACTTGTTGCAGTCACAATAAAAACAATAATTTAACCTTGTAGAACACAGATGTTGTTGGACTGTATTAAACAGTCAGTATGTGTTATTCCAGCAGCGTTTTTGTTCCTCACCCGCACAGAGTTGAGACAGTCCAGCTCCAGTCTGTCCACCGTCTCTGAAGGCAGCAAAGGACTGAGATGAGAGCGGCTGAACGGACTTGTGATGCACACCGTGCCCAGAACGTCTCTGAAACAAACATAAGGACACAACAAGCAAAATAATTTTGTGATAGGTAAAAAATATCTTTTTCAAGACACTCAACAAGTACATTCTCCTGCACCATTTACAGATTTTTAAAACTATAACAAAAGGCCTTATTTTATTCCTTTTTATATCTTAAAATTAGATGTTAATCTGGACTCCTCAGGTATATGTGGCTTCCTGGAACTTTTTGTTGTTTTGTGAGTAACAGAATGTTTAATGCTTGTGTCTCTTGTGTGTGTACCTGTTGTACATGTTGTGCAGCCAGTCCAGCAGGGAGTAAATGTCTGTGATCTCCAGCTGGTTCTCGGTGATGGCCTGCAGTCGCCTGGCAACCGCCTGGTGGTAGCTCTGCACGTACACCTGACAGATGAAAGGTGGGAAAGTATCGTAAAGTGAATTTTTAGAGCTCAGTGTGGTGCTGGATGAAGTCGGAGGAGTGCCAAAGTTCGAAGAATACAGAAGTTCTTGAGATTCATGACTGCGAGATCAAAAACCAGGAAGAAAAGGTTGTAGAGGTAACGTAAAATAAAAGAGTGCAGTGGGATGAAATCTAAAACAAGGGGGTGTTTATTAGCCTTTAACATTATGAGCTCATGTTTAAGACGCTCTGAGAAGAATTCATTTACAATATCAGCAAAAAAGTGGAGAAGAACAAACAATTGAATGAAAACGTACTAAAGCAGTTTCATTAAGTACACGTGGAGTTTTGTGCGTTTTTGAAAGGAGCAATAGATAGAGTCGCCCCCTGCTGGACATTTGAAAGACTACTGATTGAGGACACTTCTGCATTCTGTCCAGGTGTGTTCTCACCTCAAAGGGCTGGTACTCTTCGGGGTAAATAGACACCACGTTCCTCTTGGCGGCCCCGAGGTCGTCCACCACGCGGGCCCGGAGACGGTCCAGGTACCCGTCCAGCTCTCCGGCTGTGAACTCCGTCTCCTGAGGCAGCGAGCCACCAGCCACCGCCTCCACCGCCTCCCTCCACCTCTGCTTCAGACGGCGGGGCCTTGGGCCCCCTGGGGCCGCGGCCTCGCTGGCGGCCCAGTCTTTATCAGTCTGTTCCTCCTGTTGCAGCACCTGCACACACAGACAGGTGAGGCGGCGGTTATCTTTTGTTGACCTTTTTTAAGAATTCTTCACTCCAGTCGTTTTATATTCAACTAAATGAGATCTAAATCTTATCTTTTCTTTCAATGAGACAAACATATTCTGCCCCCTGGTGGAACTTTTTTATATTACAAGTATGAGTTTTTTCAAAACGACTGACTTCATGTAGTTGTGTGAACATCTTTGGTAGGATATGTATAAATTTATATCGCTATTTATATTTCACCATTAAGTTGTTATTTTCTGTCATTATTTTTGTAATGTAGTCATGCTGAGATGTTTTTCATGTTGTTTGAGTTCCCCCTTAAAGGCTTTAAATGTGATGTTTTGATCCAGCAGATGTCGCCCTTGAGCACCAGCATGAAACAAAAACAACTCGCGCTGCATTGTTGTGTTAGCATGCTAATGCTAGCGATCTTTATTCTGCTGGTATCTTCACACTGCATGTAAATTTACCTGAAATGAGCGTGATCTAGAAACACAGTTAAGCAGTGAGTACAGTATGTTATTCTTCTTTTCTCTAGTCCCTCAATTAAACTACTTTTATACACGAGGGGAGGAGTCAGCCGGCCGTCCAGGCGATGTAAACAAAGTGAAGATAGGACTCTGAAAACTCTGAAAACATCACAGACAGTGGGACTCAGGTGTTACACCCATTGTAGACAGTCATGACTCACAGAGTTATTTTCAGAGGAGATACTTGATTTCTACATTTAAGAGTGAAAAATCACATATAAAGACTTTAAGTTTGGAAGAGTTCAAGAGTTTGTAAATCGGCTGGATTAAACTCTGTTTGGTAACAAAAAGGAGTGAATTATTGTGTAAGTCGTCTCTCAGTCTGTGAACTCTTACAGATCAATCCACAAAGACTTCATAATGAAGTGACTTAAACAATCATCGTCATAAAACGTGTTAAAAATCTAAACTCAGAGTAAATCCAGACGTTACTAGATGAGTGAAACTACTTGAAGTCTCTTCTAGTTGTCTGGTACACATCCCTCCTGTTTCCATGGCAGCAGCAGTCCTCACCTGCACCACCAGGCCCAGGTTTGGCCCGGCCGTCGGGGAGCGCAGAGACTCCCTGACCACGGCCCACAGCTCCTTCTGCAGCTCCTCGTACAGCAGCTCTACGTCCTTCGCCTTCCTCCGGCCGCCATCTTTGACGCTGGAGCTGCCAGCGTCCTCCGGCTCGGTGGCGGCCGCGGCGGACTCGTTGCACTCCTGCTCCAGCTCCAGGATGTGGGTGTCGGCGAGGAGGAGGTCCCGCTTCTTCACCAGCTGCAGGATCTCCAGGACTGAAGGAGACGGGAAGACAGACCAGGTTAAACCTCTACCTGAACCGCGTCTTCAGGACTAAAGAATACAAATGGTCTATGTTTTCAGAGCTGCTGATATGAAGCCTTTTTACAAATATAAATAAATAAAGATTATTTTTTATAAAGTTTTATTTAATAACAGCAGGTTCTGTGAGCCTGTGTGCGGGGAAGCAAGAAAACTTTGGATCAAGACCAGAAAGACAACTGTTGAATCATCGGTTTGTTATTTATTTAAATCCTTTCAAAGTAAAACCTATTCTGACTGAATAGCATCAACAGCTGCTTATAAACACACACACTTTGCTGTGTGTGTGCATCGCTCTGGAGATGGGTTGGTTTGTTTTGAACATCAAAGCAGCCCTCGGGGACTCAGCGGGACGAAGCCGGAGGTTCCCACAGAATGACTGATCGGATGGTTGAACATTGGGAGATTTGTGGGAGGTTTGAGCACATTTATATTCCAAACATTTCACAGGCCGAGTGTGAAGGTTCCTCCTCTGGGACAGAGATCTGCACAGCTCGTCCTGTTTGCTTTAAAGCTCATTTGAATCCTTTCATAATGATATTTACCAGATCAGAAAAGTCGCCTGTAGTTTTCCTCACATCTATGTCTTTGTTTTGTGTTTGTAAACTCAGAATAAAATGACTTTATCACCATTTAAATTATTTTTGTTTTAAATAGTGTGCATACTTCGCCTCTGCTCAGTTTACAAACTTTTTAAATCTTCTCACTGCTGGTGGAATTTACATACTGTGCGTTTAAAGCTTGTTTTAATGTAAACAGGTGAGTTAAACATTCAGCCCGTACAGTTGAAGAGAGAAATGTTTTTGTACCAGGATGTAAACATGTTTATTTTAACATGGGGCTCTATGAGGACTGACTCACTGCAGGAGACAGACTCTAGTGGACACTGGAGGAACTGCAGCTCTAAAGTTAGACATTTTAACATGGAGCTCTATGGGGACTGACTCACTGCAGGAGACAGACTCTAGTGGACACTGGAGGAACTGCAGCTGTAAAGTTGGACATTTTAACATGGAGCTCTATGGGGACTGACTCACTGCAGGAGACAGACTCTAGTGGACACTGGAGGAACTGCAGCTGTAAAGTTAGATGTTTCCTTGTTTCCTAACTGTTAAATCACAGCGACATGTTCCTGAATCAGCTGTGACTGAAGTACCAACAGACGTCGGTCTGTGATTGGCTGGTCTTGCGTCACTGTGAAGACGATCAGGGTGGATCCTCTCTGACTGACAGTGCTGTGATGTCATCAGATGATGTCACAGCAGCAGAGCGGGGACTTCACAGTGACGACGTCATCTACCGTGAGTGACATTGACTTCTTGTTTTCACCATATTGGAGTCGTTTCTGAATCAGATGTTTGTGTGAGAGGATGCTGGTCTGTTTTGTCGTTTTGTTCGGGAGGAATCATTTCCCAGCAGTGACGTCAATGTTTGGAAAATATATACTTTTTTAAAGGATGAAGAACATCAGTGTATTCAAGCAAGGAGTGAGTCAGACCAGAATCAGAGATGACACACACTGCCACACCAGGAACTACACACACACACACACACACACACACACACACACACACACACACACACACACACACACACACACACACACACACACACACACACACACACACACACACAGGAAGTAGTGCCATCTCCTGCCTCATCTGCTGCATCTCCAGGTACTTTAAATAAAAGCCTTTTGAGATTCTGGAAGGCACACAAATGTTATTCAGAGCGGTGTGTGTGTGCGTGTGTGAGAGAGAGAGGGTGAGGATGTGAGGACTCCAGATGTTGCCTCATTCGTCCGCCTCAGTGTCGACAGAGGAAGACACACACATACACACACACATACACACACACATACACACACAGTGCCCAGAGGAAGATCTTCTTCACAAACAGAACAATGTGAGGGGAACATCTCTGCTTTGAATTCACATTTTAGTCTTCTAAGTCAAAATAAGTTCAGTCCCTGGAGCAGAGAAAATGTCAAATTTCAGCCTCCACATCCTCCCGGTTCATTGACTTTAGAAGAAGAAGACAGAGACACAGTGACGCCACCTAATGGTCAGAAGGTAACGTTTCTAAAACCTACAGTTTGGCCTTTCCGCTCAAACTGTCTTGATATTTTGGAAACCTGAAGAGAGAATATTTGGAAGAAAGGGAGGAGACACAGCACAAACACGGCCTAGAGGTTAAAGGTCAGGGACTGAATTAGCTGAGGTGACACCTAGCAGACAGCTAGCAGCTCCTACCTGTCACTCACAGAGACCACACCCCCTAATTCTACATCCCTTTAAGCCTTAATATAATGTAAACAGGTGAGTTGCAGGAGACAGACTCTAGTGGACACTGGAGGAACTGCAGCTGTAAAGATAGACATTTTAACATGGAGCTCTATGGGGACTGACTCACTGCAGGAGACAGACTCTAGTGGACACTGGAGGAACTGCAGCTGTAAAGTTAGACATTTTAACATGGGGCTCTATGGGGATTGACTCACTGCAGGAGACAGACTCTAGTGGACACTGGAGGAACTGCAGCTGTAAAGTTAAACATTTTAACATGGGGCTCTATGAGGACTGACTCACTGCAGGAGACAGACTCTAGTGGACACTGGAGGAACTGCAGCTGTAAAGTTAGACATTTTAACATGGGGCTCTATGGGGACTGACTCACTGCAGGAGACAGACTCAGTGGACACTGGAGGAATTGCAGCTGTAAAGTTAGACATTTTAACATAGAGCTCTATGGGGACTGACTCACTGCAGGAGACAGACTCTAGTGGACACTGGAGGAACTGCAGCTGTAAAGTTAGACATTTTAACATGGAGCTCTAACTGCAGTTTTGGGCACTTTTATATTTCAATCGCTTCTTTTTCCCTCTAAATAAAGTCCAATCCAGTCTGACTTCATCTTGAGTTTATTTTAAGACAAATGTTTTAAAAAATGTAAATGTGTGTTACAGTGTGGAGGTTAGTTATAATGAGACCTCTGGGGAGAGGAAACAATGCACGCACGCACGTACACACACACACACGCACGCACACACACACACACACACACACACACACACACACACACACAGGTGTGGTCAGTTTAAAGTGATATATCAGCACTTTGAGCACCTTTAAAATGGACGACACCGGAGCTTGTAAAACAGCTGTAACAGCACACACACAGTCTGAATACACACACACACACACACACACACACACACACACACACACACACACACACACACACACACACATCGTGTCAGAGAGCTCCTCCACCCTGAAACACAGCTCCTATTATTCAGCTTCAGCCTTTAGAGGAAATCTGTTCCAGCTGGGTGGATGATGCCCCGCCCACCTCCACCCTCTGTCACATACTGTTCCACCACAACCAGTAGAACCATCAGCAGCACCATCAAAACCTCCCAGTCCATGTCATTACATCACTGAACTCATTAAGTAGACTGGAGCAGTCAGTAAGAAGTGAGCACACAGTACGTTTCCTTATAAGGCTGCATACCATATATGTTTATCCTGCTTATATCAATGGACTGTGTGTCTGACGCTAACGTAGCCTCTGACGCTAACACCAAGAACCTGCATTCTTTCTCATGTCTATGATCAAATGGTCCTGTGTCAATCGAAAGGTCAGAGGTCATGTAAACTCTTGGGATGGGGTGGGCTGTCTGTATTTGTGTAATTTTAATGCATGTCTGTTAATGGTGTTGTGTACGGTTATGATGACTTGAAACCCCCTTGAAAATGATAGGACGCATCTCAAAGGGATAGCTTTTAATACATTTAAATTCAAATCCTTGTTGATGCAGCAGCTCCGTGTTTTGTTGGAATATTATGACCTGAAGAGAACAGTCGACCTTCAGAAAGTAAGAAAATCAAACGTGTTTCTGTATGTCGGTGGTCTGACAGATGTGTAGATTGTGGTTTCTGTGTTGGTTAGATCTTGAAATAGTTTACACAGTCGGAATCACAAGAATCCCATCTTTCTAGTATAGAACCAGAGATACTAGAAGAGCACGTTATCATACAGGTTAATGTTGATGCTGATTTTATCTTCAGCTAATTATCAATGGAGCTGACTGATTCATCGAAGATAATGTCTTAGTTTACGTATTAACAGTTAGCAGAGTTAATTTTATGATAAACTGTGCCCACCTCTGATGAATTCTACAAACCTAAATTAGAATATCTGCACAACTAAGAGTTAGTGTTCACCTGAGTACAATGTTAGCTCTCTGTTAGCGCTCTGTTAGCACTCTGTAAGATCCCTCTTAGCTCTCTGTTAGCACTCTGTAAGATCCCTCTTAGCTCTCTGTTAGCGCTCTGTTAGCACTCTGTTAGCTGTGTTAGCTCTCTGTTAGCGCTCTGTTAGCGCTCTGTAAGATCCCTCTTAGCTCTCTGTTAGCTCTCTGTTAGCTCTCTGTTAGCTCTCTGTTAGCTCTCTGTTAGCGCTCTGTTAGCACTCTGTTAGCTGTGTTAGCTCTCTGTTAGCGCTCTGTTAGCGCTCTGTAAGATCCCTCTTAGCTCTCTGTTAGCGCTCTGTTAGCGCTCTGTTAGCGCTCTGTAAGATCCCTCTTAGCTCTCTGTTAGCGCTCTGTTAGCTCTCTGTTAGCGCTCTGTTAGCTCTCTGTTAGCGCTCTGTTAGCACTCTGTTAGCTTTGTTATTTTTCCGTTATATCTCTGTTAGCTGTGTTAGCTCCCTGTTAGCGCTCTGTTGGTTTTCTGTTAGCTGTGTTAGCTCCCTGTTAGTTTTTGTTAGCTCTGTTAGCTATTTGTTAGCTTTATTATTTTACCGTTATATCTCTGTTAGCTGTGTTAGCTCCCTGTTAGCGCCCTGTTAACGCTCTGTTAGCTCTGTTTGCTCCCTGTTAGCTACCTGTTAACACTCTGTTAGCGCTGTTAGCTCTGTTAGTTTTTTGTTAGCTCTGTTAGCTTTCTGTTAG